GAGAGAGAGAGAGATATGATTTTGTTTTGTATTTCCTCCTTTTTTTCACAGGAACGTTTATTTTGTTTTGTATTTCCTCCTTTTTTTCACAGGAGAGTTTATTTTGTTTTGTATTTTCTCCATTTTGAGAGAGAGATTATTTTGTTTTGTATTTCCTCTCCTTTTTTTCACAGGAGAGTTCATGTTGTTTTGTATTTCCTCCTTGTTGAGAGAGATTTTTTCACAGATGTAGGTTTAACTCTCATTTTGTTGAGAGAGAGCCAGGTAGTTCAATTCTTATTTTGTTTGTGTTTTGTATTTCTATCTGTTGTTTTTTTTTTTGGGTATTTGGTAGTGAGGAGATTGGGTGGTTTTGGGTCTTAGAAAGAGAGAGTTTGAAGTCTTATTTTGTTGTATTGTTTGTATTACTTTCTGCCTTTATTTGGGTTTTCTTTTTTTCTTTTATGGGGGGAAGTTTATTTTTGATTTCTTGAGGGTTTCCTTGTGTATATTCCAAACTAAACCAGCATTATTATGAATGAATAACTGGAAGTCTTTACTCAAATGTGGATGCATTTCCCTTTCATGTCGGATGGTACATCCCAAAAGCTGAAGTGTAGATTTGAGGATTCGTGAGAGAGATAAAAAAAATGGTGGTGGATGGTGGATAAGCTCAAAAAGAGAAGGTGTAGGCTCAAAACCAGATTCGGAAGTAGTGGGAAAATTGGAAGCAGTGGAAAAAGGCATGAGGATTTATGGTCTCATTAAAAGTAGTGGAAAAGATATGTTTTTTAGATTAATATTCTAGTGGCATATTGTTTACTGTAATTAACTGCTTTTTATTGCTTTGTACTATGGTCCTCTTTGATGAATAAAGGCTGGTAATTTCTATATATTAAAAAGGGTGCTGTTTGTATGGAGCAGGGGCTCTAAACAATCAAATTAGAGCCCACTTTGAAATAGTATCGTTCAATATTGGAAATCTTTGTGATAGCCTTAAAATATGTTTTTATTTTTAATTATAAGATTTAAAGTTTCAAAAATACTATAAATGGAGTAGATCTATGAACACTTGAAATTGACGGTCTTAAAATATGTTACAAGATGCAGTATTTTCAAAACTTGAAATCCATTTTTTTCTTATGTCCATGCATTTTGACGTCGAGATGATCAATTAGAGTATATTTGGGCATTAATATAGCATGTAGTAAAATTTTTGAGGTAGGCTTTAATTTGATTGTTTAGAGCCTAGGATCTATGTAAACTTTTCCCATTAAAAAGAGGATGTGGTGATATGTATAAAGCTGACGCTCTAAACAATCAAAGTAAAGCGCACCTTCAAATAGTATTAAGAAATGTGGTTTCAATACTGGAAATCTTTGTGATAGTTTTATAATATATTTTTAGCTCTAGTTATAAAATTTGAAGCTTAAAAAATAGTGTAGATTAAGCATATATATGAAAAACATGAAAATTGACGATCCAAAAATGCTTTATATCCATTTTTTTCTCACGTCAATGCATCTTGAGGTCGAGATGATTAGTTTGAGTATATTTGGGCATCCAAACAACCTCTTCTAGTAAACATTTTTAGGTGTGCCCTAATTTGATTCTTTAGAGCCTCACACTTGTATAAACTTTTTCCTTAAAAAACAGAGAGTTTTGGATATGGCAACATAATAATAGGTCACTATGGTAGATATTATCAACGGAATAAGTATGCTGAATAGACATTATTCAAAGTGCAGTGTCTTATGTTACCTAGACACCGACACCGGTTTCTGAATTTGATATATGTCAAATGTAAGATGAGCTAACTTAAAATTGAAACTGTGGGACTGCTATGAATAATTAATGTTTTATTTAGAGCACTAAAGTTGAATTTATATATAATATGATGTATGTTTTATGGAATTGTACACTATAAGATCATTTATTTTAGATAAACGAGTCACAATCACTGTTAGCCATTAGATGTAGAATTTAATAGATGAAAGAAAAAATTTATATAGAGCCGAGGCTCTAAACAATCAAATTTGAGCCCAATATTCGAGAAATTTTGTTATGGATGTTGTGTCTGAACAATGACACATCCTCAACCATTAGATTTCAAATCTATCAGTCAATAATGATTACAGCCTTCTTGTATCAAAAGTAAATAGTCTCATCATATATATTTCCAAGTCTTATTATATAGTATGATGTATGTCTTATTACAAGTGTGAGATGAGCTATCTTAAAATTGACATGGTGAGAGAAGTATGAACAATATGTTTTTTACTTAGAGCAACAAAGTTAAATACATATATCATAAAGGAGAAACTTAGATAATGTGTCATTCTTATTTTATAAAAGTGACGCTGACCATAAAAACCAACTAAAAAGAGCTGTTCCGATGTTAGAAAATCTTTCAATTGAATATGTCAATCTCTAGATATATGGATATGAAAAAATAAGTTCAAATTTTCAAAACAATACATCCAATAATACATTGTTCAAATATTTATAATTGTTTATAGTTATGCTCGATTTGTATCATTTACTAAGTTTGAAGTTTCACAGTTAGGAGTGAAAATAGATTTTTCGGTCACTGCATAAACTTTTTGATACTAAAACTATGTCTTTAGCACAATCTAAAAGTACACCTTACTTTGATCATTTAATGTGGTTCCTTGTATAAACCACCTCCATAATAAACATTTATTTATATTGCATTTAAATGTAGTTAGTGTTAGATCCGGATCCATTCGGGATGCTTATTGTAGTATCTTTCCGGACATTTAGTGTATTTGAGGCTTGCCTCCAAACTTTATCATAAATATGAGCCTTTAGTGTATGTTATAACGTAATACATAGACAATTTATTTTCAAGTATTCACGGATTTACAAGATCTATATTATTTTTTAAGCTAAAAATTTTATAATCGGTGGTAAAAATTTATTTTAGAACCATCATAGATATTTCCATGAAAATAATAAAGAATGTGGGTACTCATAAATGTTGTCCAATATTGTAAATATTGTCAATAATATAGGTATATGATGGTACAAAAAAGGGGACATAAACAAAAAAAAAAAACGAAACTCATAGTCACAGACCTCGTGTTTCATATAAACAAAAGGGTGGCAATGGACCCGATCAGATCCGAAACTCATTGGGTAGACCCGACCTCGGATCCAAAACATCGGGTCTAGGTTCAAAACCTGGTCCGGTCCAGACCTTACCAACACTATCGCAGTAAAGTTAAAACAATTTTTTTTAATAAATTTTTGGGAAGACTTATACGTAAGGTTGATTCCTTATAATAACTTTTTGCAGTTTTTGTCACGTCATTTCTTCTCTTTCTCCACCCTACATGATCCTTACCGTCCATCATAAAGCATAGACGGTGGATATCACGTTCTCTCTCTTCTCTCTTAAAAATAATTATGCATCCTAAAATATTTTATGCTCTTGCAAGAGTATACTATATGTGTACTCTGTCAAGTAATACCCAATTTTGGATTATTTTTAGAACCCCAAATTTTAGGGATAAGACAACCCATAGAGTAATTCAAACAAAAACTTTTTTTTTTTAAAAAGTACTATATTATCATCAATTTTTTTTCAATTAATTGGAATCGGCTATACAAATCCTGATAAGTCTAAATTTTCCTAAACCTACTGCTTATGTTATCCATCTCAATTCTCATCTCAAGACTTAATAAAGACTATCCATTTTTCACACGGTGTGATTTAAGTATTGGTGCGGTTTGTACTAGGCTCTAAACAATCAAATTAAGAGCTTACCTTCAAATAGTGTCGAGAAATATGGTTTTAATATTGGAAATCTTTGTGATAGCTTTAAAATATATTTGTATATTTATTTATAAAGTTTAAAGCTTTAAAAATAGTATAGATCGACAGATCTATGAACACTTGAAAATCTTGAAAATTGACGGTCTAAAAATATGTTACAAAATACACTATTTTCAAAACTTAAAATCTATTTTTTTTCTCATGTCGATGCATATCCATACGAGATGATCAATTTGAACATATTTGGGTCTCAAAATAACCTCTTCTTGTGAAATTTTTGATGTAGTCTCTTGTTTAGAGCCTCGGCTCTATTTAAACTTTTCCTTTAAGTATTAAAAAATTCAAAATTTATTTTTTATTGTAAAAAAAACATTCTAGGTGGTTTCAAATTTTAGATGGAATAAGTATTCTAACCGAGGCAATAAATATACAATATATGCTCTTGCAGGAGCTTAGTACAGGCACTTTTTTCATTGGCCGTTCTTATGTCTTCCATGTCCCTCGCTCAAAACCCACGCCTTGTTTCCATGCTCCAAAGAAACAAAAGAATATTTCCCTTTCAGGACAACCTACTGCAAACCCTGTTCAGATTCTTCTCTCTTTCTCTCTCTTCTCTGTTCTTTCTCTCTCTTCTCTCTATTTAAGGGATCAGTTTTCAATAAATTCCCCACAAACCCATCTCACCAAAAAAACCCATTCCTTTTCCTGCCATGAATCCTCTGAGAATTCTCCCCTTTTTAGCCATCTCTTGCATCTTCACTTCTCTCTTTCTCTCTCTAGGACCCAACCCAGTTCTCGCCTCCTCGAACGCTCTCTCCCTAAAACCCAGACCCATACTCGAAGACCAGGCTTGGAATCAAGAAAGCAGAGAGGGAGTGGACAAAAAGATCGAAATTTTCGATGAGATTAGAGAGGAAGAAAAGAGAGAAAGTGAGGAAGAAGAGAGAGAGAGGGTGAGGTTGTACTGTGAGAGCTGGAGATTTGCAGTGGAAACCAACAATTTGCAGTCATGGAAGGTTGTGCCAATTGAGTGTGGGGGGTTTGTGAAGAAATACATGAGTGAGAGGGGTTACAGGTCTGATCTTGAAATGGTTGCAGAGGTGGCAGGGGCGTTTGCGAGGAACGTGGAATTAGGGCAAGACGGGATGGATGCCTGGATATTCGATATTGACGAGACATTGCTCTCCAATCTGGTTTATTATGAAGAGAATGGCTTCGGGTTACGTTTCTCTCTCTAGATTTCTGAAATGGTTCCTTGGGCTTCCTCTCAATCTCTCTCCTTCTCTCTCTCTAGATTTCTGAAATGGTTTTGTTTTGGATATTATGAAATTTAAGAGGGAATTTTGGTCTCGCTCTCCAAATTTTTTCACAATTCTGAGACTTTATTCTCTCTCTACATTTTTCACAATTTTGAGATATTATTTGGTTTGATGCAGTTTGGAGCTCTTCAATGGCAATAAGTTTGATGAATGGGTGGATTTGGCTGAGGCTCCTGCAATATCTCCATTTCTCAAGTTATATGAGGAGGTTTTGGAGATGGGTTTCAAAGTGTTCTTGTTGACAGGGAGAAGTGAGAGCCAGAGGAGTACGACAATCCACAATTTGCAAAATTCTGGCTTTCAAAATTGGGATAGGCTTATAATGAGGTAATCCTCTTTCTAGGGGTGGCGGGACCCAGACACCGGATCCGACCCACTAGGTCCAATTTTTTAACCTATATCCAGACCTGGACTCAGTCTGTCCTTTTGGGTACTGAGCCGGGTCTGGATCCATTGCCACCCCTACCCCTCTCTGTTGCTCTCTCTCTAATTACATGGATCTATTAGATTTTTTACTAGAAGTAATGCAGCATCCTTATATAAACTTTTTTCATAATTCATTGTATATAACTTAATTAATACAAAGTAAATGTGTGAAATCCCATACATGGGACATGCTAACAGATACAGATGTTGAGATATATGAAAATCACTCATTCCTTGTCCTAAGGCCTGGGCCGTAAAACATGGCTGAAGGGTTGGGCCTGGGCTGGATCTTTTTTCTTAGTTTTTCCTTTAAATTTTATATGATAAAATTTGGCCAGGCCTAACCTGATCCAAATAGGGCCAAGGCAAGTACTAAGCCTAGGTCTTGTTGGCCAAGTCTTGACCTAGACTGGCCCTATTGATACTATGACCAGGCTAGGGCCAGGGCCAGGATTGACCCTAGGCCTTGTTGGCCAGGTCCTGGCCTAGACCGGCCCTATTGATACTATGGTCGGGCTAGGGCCTGGCCCATTGTCGGTGTTGCCTATCTAGGTCGAAAGGGTTGGACCCCAACCCAATTCCTTACAATTAGGGGAGATTCACTATGTTGGACACAAAGAGCTTGGTAAGTTTGTTTGCGAATTGGACAATAGATTGGTTGAATCGCCCAATTCCCTTCTAAACTTATTTTTTATATTTTTATTTTTGTTAAGTTAAAATGATAAAAAAAAAAATTTAATATTCTCCATATGCGGGAGAATGACCTCCCAAATCGACCATATAAGGCTCACCAACTATGACCGACTCCAAAATTCATATGACCCGCAACGAGAAAGACACTAGTTGTTCGAAAGTAAATCACATGGTGCTTATGTTACAAAGCCACGGATACAAGTCTCCACGTTGAACATATGTACGAGGGTTAGGAAAACTAACGAGGTGGGGTTTTAAGTGATACTAAAGCATCATACATATTAACAAATGTACAAGTTTCTAAAGTGTCAGATGCGAATATCTTGTCTTTCAAATAATGACATGCATAAAAAATCATAAACACCTATGTCCATGTTAGGAAGCTTATTAAAAGATGCATGTAAAATCCCATGAATGTGGCATGAGATGCTAATAAAAATAAGAGAGTGGGAAACCCCAATAATAAATGAATTGACCATATTTCTGTTAACTAATTCTATAAGATACCTATAGAGATTCTTTCATGACTAAATAATTATTGGCAAATTAGTCAAATGTAAATTATTGGTAATATACACCTAATGAAGTTTACTAAAAGAATGAATTCAAGTTGATGAAAATTAGCAAATAATCCCCATGTAGCAGCTAGGGGCCAACCAGCTTTAAACATAGGGTCCCTCTCAGGGATATCACCATCAGTGAAATTTTTACTGCAAAGTCTAAGAGGTAAATGCCCAAGTTCTGTGGTCATTGATAGTGACTATAGAGATTGTGGTCCATGGAGTTGTAGTAATGCTTTAGGCCTCTTGTGTGGATGTTGACTGGACATTGTGTGAGAAAATTCGAGTTTGGCATACTAAAATTATGTGTGTGCACGCGTTTTTTTAAAAAGTTTACAAAAAAATCCTATAGTTTTAAAAAGTTTACAAAAAAATCCTATAGTTTTAAAAATTTAAAAACAGTCATGTTATGCTCAATTCCTATTTTTTTTACTCTATGTGCTTTTTTGAAAAATTTATAGAAAAATCCTATAGTTTTTTAAATTTAAAAGCAGTCATGTTATAATCAAGTCCTACTTTTGAAAGTATATAGTATATTTTAATTTTTTTTCTTTATATGTTTCATACTTCTTACCAATCATGAACATCTAAAAACACACAAAAGGAAAAATATTTGAAAGAAATAAAATTACCAAAATACCTATGAAACTTGTTGGGGTATCTTGGTTATTTTTATTATTGACTTATTTTTATATTTTTAAAATGTGTGATAGTGAGAGGTATGGATGCTTTCACCTTTAAGCTTAACCGGATGAATAATAAAAAGAATTGACGTAAAATATGCTTTATATTCTAAAAAAGTGGGACTTAGTACAAAGGACCCGGTTTCTATACGGCCAAGCTCGTGTATGTAGAAATGCGGGCTTCTTAAAAAATCTATTTTTGAGAGGGATTTTAAGACTTAATTTTTAAGGATATGTAATCTCTAACATGGAGATCATGAATATGAAAAAATAAATAAATTTTAAAAACTAACAATAATAATTCTAGTAGAAAAACATTTGGACAGGTAGTTTCTATTGTTTTTAAATGGAACACCAACGTGCATCCATCTTTAAGATGGATGCTTTACTCTTTTTGGACTGCATTTCTATATATGCGGTCCAGCCCGCATGAAACAATTTTCTTAGTGCAAATGATGAAGTATAAGAGAATTTTTAAATTTTGATTACAAAAGGGTTTTTTGGTACATCTCCACCCTTTTCTGGTTGTACTTATTTGAAGTGTTTGAAAACCTAATGATCCAGATCGAGGATGATTGATGCAGACCAAGATCAGCCGGGACCAAACTGGTTCCAAGAACCTTTCGTATTATTTTTCTTTTTCATTTAGCTTAAAATTTTCATAGATCCCTCCAACCCCTACCCTTAATTTTTTTAAATCGCCAATTCAAACCGTTCTGGATTTGTGATTCGGCAATCCTCACAAATCTATGGAGTGGACATTCCACCCACTTATCCGAATTCTCAAACATTATTTATTCGTAACAAGGACCTACCATGGTTAGGCCTACATATCTAATTAAAGCTACTCTTCATCAAATTTAGCAAAAAAAAAAAAAACAGTAATTGTAGTGGTAGTTACAGTGCCAAGAGAGGGAAGGAGAAGCATAGGGCTGCCATATCTAATTAAAGCTATGCACCATCTGATCTAGCAAATAAAAGAGGGTAGTTGTAGTATTAGCAGTTGCAATAATAGCATAGAGAGAGAGAGATGTCCATTAGAGTAGAGAGAGGGTTACAGATAAGGAAAATAATTGTTAAGCAAATCGTTGGTTGAGATTAGGACTATTTGTAATTGCCTGTGTTTTGACAAAAAGGAGTAAGTAGTCCATGTTTATAGGCAGCTATTTATAGACACGGATCAACTAGTTATCGAACCGATTCTTGTCCAGTCAAAACTGGTTCAACCGCTAGTTGAACTGGTTTGATCAGATTTTAAAAATATTAAAAAAAACATGAATAATAGTTTTAAAATATATAACATATTAGAAAAAAAAAAGTCGCACACTTTGTTTGACCAGTTAAACTGGTCAAGGCTAGCCAGTTGAACTGGCCAAAACTAATCAAACATTAATTATGACTTGACCGATTTTTTTTATCAAATCTGATCCTAATAGCTATGGTTAAACCTCCAATCTCCACAATTCTCTTGAATTCGACTCTTAGTTAACATATGATGAAAGGTGGTTATCACAATTATACAGAGTAAAGAGCAAGTTTAGAAGTTAAAAGAAATATATTAAATACATAAATGCATACACAATTAAATAATTCAAAAAAAAGAGAAAGAGATCATGATAATTTATGGTAGTCATGAGGTCTTTATAGCTATGCTTCTACAAAAGAGAGTCATGATTTTTATGCATGTTTGTTGTGTAGGGGTGCGGCCGACCAAGGAAAATCAGCAGTGTTTTACAAGTCAGAGAAGAGAATGGAGATGGAGAAAGAAGGATTTCGGATCCTCGGAAACTCTGGAGATCAATGGAGTGACCTACTAGGTTCTTCCATGGCCATCCGATCTTTCAAGCTTCCAAATCCTATGTATTATATTCCATGACATTTTAGTTGCCTATCTCAACTCATTGCAGATATTGATTCAACCCAACTGTGTATTTGCCTCGTACACATTTCAGTATTCTTCTGAACTTTGATTTATCATTAATGCATTTTTTTTAGAAAAATTTAGAAGAAGTAGACAAACATGTTAGTACTATTCACTTTCAGCATAAGAAAGTCACAATCGCTCTTAGCTGTCTAATATAAAATCAAGTATTTGGAGCCATCCCGGTGCACTTAAAACTTGAGAAATTTTTTCTCCAACGTGTATGAAGGGAAATACCCCTAGCCACCCGATTCCACATCAAATGGCTAGGCATTTTTGTACCAAAGGTAAACAGCCTTATAGTAACAATTAGTGGTTATTATCACTCTCATGTTCTAAAGGTAAACACTATTATAGTATACAATCCCAATATATAGATAGATATACCCTAACATTGATTGACTCTACTAAATTAGTAATTTTGTCATCATCATCAAAAGCCTTTTCCCAACTATTTGGGATCGGATATGTGAATACTAGTCTGACATTTTGATATATCAAGGGTCATACCCTCGGTGAGGCCATGAGTTCTTATATCTTTTTTCGCTTCTTCCAACCATGTTATTTTGGATCTACCCTTTGTCTTTTTGAGCATTTTATTTGAACTAACTCGCACCTCCTAACAGGTGTTGTATTAGGTCTAAAACTAGCTTTTTTGTAAATTAGCTCTAATTTTTTCTTTTTCAATTTTTTTTTTTTTTTTTTTATTCATATTAATTTTAGACCTATGAGAATCGAACTCTAAATAGCAGCCACCTAACTAACTACCTCATTTTTATGCATAAACTTTAATTCTGGGAAAAGCATACATAAGTTTTGTATTTTTATGTGGCATATTTGAGTTTGGAGACGTATTGAAGAGCCATGCTGACGAGAATGGAAATCCTGTTATTTCTAAATCTTTTATGAATTAAACAAAGTTGAGAGCATTGGATGAGGGAAAGTTTACAATACATTTAGTATAGTGTCAGGGTACTACATCTAGGTCTCCACCATCGATTCAGAGTCACGAATGGTGGAGATGAAAAGTTTGTTCATTGTTGCCTTCTTAAGCTAGGAATTGTTCATCACAACCTGCAATTGAGGACAGATGGTGGAGGCCATATTAAGCAGTGGAACGGTTCTTCACTGTCGATCAATGAGAACAAATGGTGGAGATTACATATCAGTTTACAAAAGCTATTGCACATGCACTGCCTTGTTAATTCCTTGTGGAGAACTTTGTGCTTGCCTTCTTAATGTTAAGGTTGGTTTGGGGATCGACCAAGGGCTTGAAACTCTTTTACAAAATCACCTAAAAGGTCAGATAATCATAAATTATATTTGAAGATTTGCTTTTAAATTTCTATTCAATCAGGTATGCTATCAGTGTGGGATGCCTGAAGAATTAGGAGCACTTCGATCATTTTACTCTATAAAGGCTTAAAAAAAATAACAGTTTTACACTACTTTTTCTAAGTTAGAAATAACATACAGCTTGTTTGGAATTTAAAATGAGGAATAATAAAGGATATTTGTGTCATTTGATACAAGCAAGGCAAATACCCCTTATCATTCCTCTTTTTAAATACCTAACAAGTTGTTCGGTATTTTTAAACCTGAACAAATATAATATTTCTATCATTATATAAAGGATTTTTTGTGGGTAAAATTATCAAAGTCCTCCTAATTGTTCAAGTTTTTTGACAGGCAATTTGGGAACTTTTAAAGTTTGTTTTTTAGGACATAACTGATCGAAATTTAAAAGTAAACCTTAAATATAATTTGTTATCATTGATCCCTTTAATGATTTTGTATGGGTTTTCAACCCCTTAATTATTACTTTTCCTCATCTTTTTTTTTGGGATTTTTGTGGTTTCTTAGAGATAAGGTGGGCTAAAAAAAAATAAACAACTCATAGATAGTGACAGACCAAGCCGGAGGCTCATCAATTTTAAATTGGTAGATGAAAAACCAATGATGTTCCAAAGCTTTTGTTAGGCCTTGAAGTCAGACCCACATATTGGAGTTGGAAGCACCACAAAGACATTGATACCTACCTGCATATTTGCAGCATGCTCTCGCTCTCCACTTGAGCTTTTTATAACTCTCTTTCATCACTTGAGCTTTTATAATTGGTAAAAAGGTGGGGCTCTAAACAATTAAATTAAGGTACCTAAAAAATTCACTAGAAGAGGTTGTTTGATGCCCAACAATCATCAAATTGATCATCTTGACTTTAAGATGCATGGACATGAGAAAAATAGCTTTCAAGTCTTGAAAATAGGGTGTATCTCATAATGCATTTTCTAGACCGTCAAATTTCAATGATTTTAAGCATTTATAGATTTACTTGATGTACGTTATTTTTGGAACTTTAAATCTCATAATTAGAATGAAAATAAATCTTCAAGCTGTCACAAAAATTTCCAATACTAAAACAACACCTTTTGACACAATTTGAAAGTGCGCCCTTACTTTGGCATGCAAACCACACCCTAATCTTCCAGCTAATAAAGACATTAAGGCCACGTTTGGGTATCTTAGTGACCCTATCACAACTTTAATAGTTGTATCCGAGCTTTATCTTCACATGCAGTCATAAAAATAGAAACTTTTAAATTGACATATACGAGCAATATCCATGGTTTTTCAATTTTAATAAAAAGAGTTACGAGTAAATCTTGCAATTGATAGCATTTTACCACATGCAGGATCCTGTGCTCATGAATAATGATATGCCAAGCTAGTAATTACGTTACTGTTCACACCCAACTAGTAATTACTTTACCATAGATTTTTTCACCTGATTGCCGGGGTAATCACGTGGGACCCAACGCACTCACACAGCATTTTCCCTCGTTTCCCTCAAGGGTAACCTAGAGTGCCGGTCCCAAAAAACAATCAATTTACCCCTAGGGCCTATTTAATTTTCAAACTCGGCCTCGGGAAATTTTATTCTTGTTGGCAAAAAAGGGGATGCCCAAACAGGACCTCTAGTCATCAACCCCAACAACAAAAAAAAGAAAAAGTACATTCAAATCCCTAGAATCCTTCTTCTTTTTCTTTCTTTCACTCTCGTTAATGCTTTTCACGGAATTTTCCTTTACTTTTTCTCTCTGTTTATTAAGAAAAGATGGACTGAATGAATGTTCCAAAGGGGTGAACCTGAACTAAGCTGCTCACCCAACATACTTTTCCTAATTCCACCCCAAAGGTGGGTGGCTATATCGGGTTTTTTATTACCACCCATCTCGCCTAAAGAAATATCCAATGAATTTGACATGGTAATCGACCAATTCATACAATCATCTGCAAAAGTAGTCACACATGTCTCCTTTAACAAAGGAGTGATATGGGGGAGAAAAAGTTGAAAGTGATTGAACCTCACAGAGTAGAAATCTTTGGTCCCTCAATGACTTTTAGTAGAGAGTGAGATATTAAAAATTAAAAATTAAAAATTAAAAAAAAAGAAAAAAAAGAAAAAGAGAGGAAAGAGAATGGACATTTGAACTGTGGAGGAAAGAGAAAGGTAAAGAACTTGGGCCCTCACCTCGTGATAGAGAAAGAGAGAGTTCATGCTTGTATGCAAGAGCTCTGATTAAAAACTAATAGGGGTGGTGATTGCCCAGGACCGGGGCCTGGACTACCCCACTTTGGCAATAGCCCGGCCCTAATCCCCATAGGGATGACTCAGGCTTGGCCCAACCCAACCAAAGTGGCCCTGACATAGTTCGAGCCTTGGGCTGGGTTGGGCCCAACCGGATTGGCCCTTGCTCAGGCCTAGTCCTCAAGCTCTAATTTTTTACGATTGGCCCTAGCCAAGCCGTTGGCCCATTGCTACCACAAAAAACCAGGAATCGGTGGCCAGTTTGCGGTAAGCAGGCTCAAAATGACGAGGAAAAAAGCATAGACATTCTCATATGTACACATGCGTCCCCCCTCTAAAGTCCATCTTCATCTTAAAGAATGATTTTTTATCCAAGTTTTTAGAAATTCATGATATAGGTCAAGGTGATCATAAAATAAATTAGTTATCTCTTGCTTAATAATGTAGTATAGATAAAAAAAATAAAATAACTTTTTTAAAATCTAAATTGTGTTGTTTAGGGGATTGTTTATGCACCCTTCATATGTTATTTATGTCGGTGCACTTCACATTCATGGCTCAAGAGTGAGCCTGGGCGAACCCCCCGATAGTAAGCCTCCACATCGATTAATCTTTTCAGCACCATGCAATGCAAGGGTTAGTGTTTCAAAAATTTAGATTGGTGGAAGGAATTGTTCACCCACATATTTGTATTCGATCAATGGATCGCCGATCTGGATCTGGTCCAAATTAGTGAGGAGAAAATATTAAAAAATACATGAAATAAGACAAAATTAAAGAGCATGTATACTATGCTTCCGCAAGAGCATACTATGCATCTACTCCTCCACACAAAACATCTATTTATGAAATTTTTTTAGTCTAAAATTTTGGGAACCACATGAGAATTAATAGAGATTATTACAAAATAAAAATTTGAACTTTGAGTTTTTGTAAAAGTTAGATTTAGCCCTTCAAAACTTGGACGGTTTTCTATTCAATCTTGAGGCATTATATTTTTTTAGGAAATAAGAGAGTCTATTTATGGAAAATTTTGACTGAGATTAGTTTATTGGTGGTAAAGATAACATCCCCAAAATTTCAGATATTCATCATTTACCTAAAGGAACAAATGCATAATATACTCTTAGGGGTGACGAAAATCTCGAGGCAAAATGAAAATAGGGATTTATGAGGTGGACATTTAAAAATAACCTAAACAAAGATCAGATGAACCTTAAAAAAAAAAAAAAAAGGAAGTATACGAGGGGGATTTAGTATGCTAGCAAATATTGACTTTCATTATCATGAAAATATTTCCACTTGAAATCAGACCTTCATGTAATTAGAGGTGAGAGGTTTTTCACTCCAATTGATTTCAATGTATTTTTTGAACCCTAAAACAGTCAATTGATATGAAAAAACTTCGATACCTAATCATGAAACACTTGATGGGTATTTTCGTTATTATAAAATATAGGTCTCATGTAATTAGACGTGGGAGGTTTTTTCACTCTAATGGATTCTAATGTATTTTTTGAACACTAAAATTAATGGATTCTAATGTATTTTTTGAACACTAAAATTAATGGATTTTAATGTATTTTTTGAACACTAAAATTGTCAATTGATATGCGAAAAAACTTCGATACCTAATCATGACACACTCGATGGGCATTTTCGTTATTATCAAATGTAAGGTGTCTCCTTCAAAACAATCATGAGAAAAGGAGGTGCCGGAATTTTATTTCTCCGTGATTTCCGCTTAAAAATTTAATATAAAAAAACATTTTATAATCCAAGTTAAAAACAAAAAAATACCAATCTGCAAAAATTTGCTTTGCTGGATCCAGCAAATTATATATCGCCACGTGTCATCTGTCCACCATCACCGCACACATATATGCGGTCAGTCCAAGCTTTCCTCCATTCTCTCTAAAATTCTCACTCTCTCTCTAAAACTCTCTCGCTCTAAAGTTCTCTCTCCACTGTAAAAACCAGTCTTGCATTTTCCAATTGTAGGAACTTTTAATCTCTCTCTCTCTCTCTCTCTCTCTCGTAGTCTTAGGGTTTGAGAATCTTAGCAGCTCAATTACCTGAGGTAAGATCTTGAACGTTCTAAAAAATGGAAAACTTTTGAATTTTCATGGGAATTATACATGAATTGGCACCTGAATCTGTTAACCCTGACATTGATGTGAAATGGTTTATTTTTGTATAGGGGTCTTGGAATTGGGAGCTACTGAAAAGGTTAGATCTGTTACCAGTTTACTGAAAATGGTAGCTTTTTTGAAAAGTCAGATTTTCTTGTAGTTGATGAGGCATCTGATACTTTCTTTCCTCTAGAGCTCAGAATGAGCTCAGTTATTCCCTGCAAATCCAGGAATTCTTGTTCACGGAAGTGTAGGTTACTTGAATCGGAAGGTTTCTAAACGAATTTCATATGGTATTGAGGATTGTTGACGTCTTGTGGTACTGTAGAATCTTGAATTTGAGATTGGATTGTTGATAAAGGCAGTGAACTTGATAGATTGAAATGTGGGCATTGCTCAGAAGTTCTTTATCTTCTGGAAACCCTCTGAAATTTGGGGTTTTGGAAGCTATTTTCCTTTTGTGATCATTTGTGGAACTTAATGATCCATTTTAGTGTTATGCATTTTTGGTCCTGAACCCTGTTTCCAGAAATGGAAGGGTTCTAGGCCTCCTCGTTAAAGTTAAGCTGATCTCTGGTATTTGAAGGTGATGAATATAGCTGTAACCAGTTTAGGCAAATGGGGGGTCTTGAATTGAGTTGCTGTTGATCTTAAAGAAACTTCAGTGAATGAAAACAAAGAGGAGATTCATTTTACATGTTTATACTTTATAGTCATGAAAGGTTACAGATCATTTGACTGTTGCATTTCCTCTCTCTAGGATTTGTATGTTTCCCTTTATTATATAGAAATCCTTGTTGGACGACTGTTAAATACTTCTCAAATGCCTTGTGAATTTTGGCCATTTTAGAGTTCTCAGCAGGTAATTTATGCAGTAGTAATCTTTGTTCAAGTCCTATAGTGAAAACCCAAAAACATTCAAGATCAATCAGATCTCCCACATATGCTAAATTCCATGCCTTGGGTTACCCCTGTTTTTCTAGCTTGAAATTCTGGACTTCATTTTCCCCTAGGCCTACTCTGAACCCAGGAGTAGAAGCAAATATCAGGAAAAGAGATCATCAATTGCGGCACAACCATATTTGTATTAATTCCTAAAATTAAATATTTAATATGCAAGGTTTCATCAAATTTCTAATTGGAGCTGGCTCCGTGTTCGTTCTGGTCTCTGTCTTGTTTGCTCTTCGAGCTTGTCGTAAAAGATCGCAAAACTCTCCAAATATTCAGAATGCTAAGTGCATCGAAGAAGAGAAAGAGATTGAAGAGTTGATCCCTTTCCCAGGGGGTGAGAATCTAACCATCCATGACATATTGGAAGCACAAGGAGAAGTAGTGGGAAAATCCAGTTATGGAACAGTGTATAAGGCCTCTCTAGAGAGAGAAAACTCCCTATTACTCCTTCGATTTCTTCGTCCGGCTTGTACCAGGTGCAAGAAAGACGTTGTCCCTGCAATTAGGCAACTGGGTCTTATCAGGCATCCTAATCTGATCCCCCTTCTTGCTTTTTATTCGGGACCCAGAGGAGAGAAGCTTCTTGTTCATCCTTTCTTCATCAGAGGCACTCTCTTAGAGTTCATTCGAAGTAAGCTCATCTTTATCATTTTTCTGTTTTTTGTTCTTTTAACAGTTCTTGTTTCTTTCCCTTTTTGCACCTTTTGTGTGACATTGTTTACAACTTAATGAAGTCACAAGATATCCACATTTCAGAGCAGCTTTTAGAGACGCATCCTGACTACTATTTTATCAGAAAATTCATTTTGATTCATTTTGTTACATGCCAACGCTGCTAATGTGTCTTAAAATGCATTTTATTATGTTATTTTTCTTCCTACATACTCGGTTACTAGATAGCCTGAACTGAAACTGATAAAAAGCTGTTCGGTTTTCTAAATTGAATGACATCTTAGTCCTTTAGAATACAAGTCTTGGCAAGCATGGTGCAAACTTGAGGTGTAAGAATGAACTAAAGGTTGGGACGGCTGAAAGTTTTTGTTTCTTATCTGTCACTCTGTTCAGTATTTATATTCCTTTACCTATTCTTTCTTTGCGTGGATGGATAGAACCTGAACTGCAACTTTGTTTTCTACTTTCCAGTGTTATTGTTTAAATTTTCCTGCATTCTCATCTTGGTAGTCAGTTTTCTCGCTTTGTACTTATTTTTCTGAGAGAGAGAGAGAGAGAGAGAGAGAGAGAGTAGGTAGTTAGTTGTAGT